CCTTCGCTCTGCAATTTTCACCCATTGGGGCCGTCGCTCTGCGATCGCATTAGCGATCGAAAAAACGTCCCCATAGAGCGAATTCATCGCTCTACGGGGCGCTCGTTGTGCGAGGCACCACTGTAGTTTGTCCATGTCACCTGCCCAGGGAGTTTCCAAGTTGGCCAACTTCAGATTTTAATCCAGGTCTCCTAGTTCAACAGTTCAAACAGTATACCACACTGGGTCTCAGGATATTTTCTAGTCATGATAAAATATTAAAAAGAAAACAATGGTGTGAATTATGCTGTTTGCCCTCACTTTTCCTTGCATTCCCCCCTTCCCGTAAATTATATACTGTATCACCGTGTCATGAATAGGGAGTCCTGTGGTATTATTGTGGAGCTGTAACGGTTCATGCCATTAATAGGAGCAGAGAATTAACCAAAACAAAAACATCTAGCCATCTCATGAGAATTTCACCAGAACCCCATCTGTTTCCCTTTTTCCATATCCAACACTCTTGTATGCATACTAGCTTTCTGAGATCAATTATACCATGGTTGGAACATATTGATAGAAAAACAATGCATCAATTAACGTGCTTTATTTGCATAATATGGAAAACCCCTTAGTTTTCATATTATTCAAAGAAGATTGCATAATTTACACAAGATGCAAACCAGGGTGTTCAGATTTGGAGAGCTGGAAAACAGCAACTCTGTTGCACATACTGTACTATCTTATTCTGTGGGACTGACATATCAGCAATGTAGCATTGTACGCCAAAGTGGCTACATGGAAGTGGTGTTTCCTGCCACAGGTTCTTGAGTTGAAGCCAGCTCTAGGATTGCTGTTCTGTTAGTGGTTGCATCTTGAATTCCATATATTAATAAACAATTCAAAAGAAGCTTTTAGAATAAAGAAGCATAGAATCTGTATTTTGAAAAAGAGATCAGGGCGGCAGGTGTAAGATCACATTAATGCCTTTTGGATATTAGATGTGGGCAGAAGATTGCTGCCTATAGGAATGTTTAAGCTCTTTACCTGCCCCTGTGGGAAACTGGACACTTGCCAATGAACTCACATAACGTCCTATCTCTTGGAAGTGGGAAAAGTAACGAAAAGAGCTAGCATGGTATAGTCGATGGAATGATGGATAAGGATTCAGGACAAGGGTTCAAATCCCTTCTTGGCCATAAAAATTCACTAGAAGGAGTGGCACTGACAAAACAACCCTTCGATATTCCACGCACTTTGAAAACCCTATTCAAGTTGCCATAGGTTAGATGAGACTTCATAGCATATTTTGTGGTTTAGTCGTTAAATCGTATTCGACTCTTTGTGACCCCATGGACCAGAGCACGCCAGGCCCTCCTGTCTTCCACTGCCTCCCGGAGTTCGGTCAAATTCATGCTGGTAGCTTCGATGACACTGTCCAACCATCTCGTCCTCTGTTGTCCATTCTTCTCTTGCCTTCACACTTTCCCAACATCAGGGTCTTTTCCAAGGAGTCTTCTCCTTGGTCAAGTATTGGAGCCTCAGCTTCAGGATCTGTCATTCCAGTGAGCACTCAGGGTTGATTTCCTTCAGAATTGATAGGTTTGTTCTCCTTGCAGTCCAGGGGACTCTCAAGAGCCTCCTCCAACCCCACAATTCAAAAGCATCAGTTCTTCGGTGGTCAGCTTTCTTTATGGTCCAGCTCTCACTTCCATACATCGCTACAGGAAAAACCATAGCTTTGACTATTCGGACTTTTGTTGGCAAGGTGATGTCTCTGCTTTTAAAGATGCTGTCTAGGTTTGTCATCACTTTCCTCCCAAGAAGCAGGTGCCTTTTAATTTCATGGCTGCTGTCACCATCTGCAATGATCATGGAGGCCAAGAAAGTAAAATCTGTCACT